TTCTGTCCATAGAGCTTCTTTTCACAACAACAATCAGCTAAATGTCAGCTACATCCCAGACCTCTTTAATGGTTTATAAGGTCATGTTTTTATTTATTGTTATTTTTTTCCAGTAGCAGAACGTGTGTGTCAGATTTCCAGAGCTATGTTTAGCTTCTTCACTAAATGGCTGGTAGGCTTTTAAATCACATCATTATCTCGACAGCACCTGAGCTTCATTCAGAGTGCAGACACACACACCAACAAAGCCAAAGTTGTATAGTCAGCAGAGCTATTATGTGTCTGACTTGTTTGCCTGATGCAATTTAATATTTAATATCATACCTGAACAAAAGATTACCCTACTTACATTCTCAAATCAACACATCACTTGCAATACTGCATGGGTTGAAGACGTACAAATCTGGGGGATTTCTTGATCTGTTGTTTATGCATTCTATCAGCGCAGTGAGCGGCAAACAATTTAGAAACAATGAGCTGCAAAACTGCTGAGAACTACACAAACAAAACTTTTGCTCTTATAGTTTACAAAAAACACTGTTTCTACCAAAGTTTTAGAGTGACCCCTAAGTGGATCTTTAGTGGTAAAACCTTCTGTGTCCATTCAGTTGAAACCTATTGGAACAGACACCTAGCCTCTAGACTGCGAGCACTCTGTCAAAATGGGTCTCAGACGGTAACCACAGAATATTTCATTAATTAATGAGCGTTATGTGGTGCTATTAAAGCACTCATACGCCCCATTTGGCCCAAAGCACAGCCTTTTAACACATTAACTCACCGCAGATCTCAATCTGATGCATGAGGAAGAGAACGAGAGAAAAACAGAGACAAGCTAAAACTCATCACATGCATACAAGGAGTCCCGGAACACAAAATCCCATTAAATACTCTATTATACTCTATGGTCCTTGTCAAAATTTGCAAAACATTTTTAGAGTGAGATTAGATAACACAATGTTGTTCAACACTAATGGCACTAGGTCTACAACACAACAGGAGTGTTAATATGAGAATGTGCCATGGGAATATGCGCACCCATGCCGCTAATGGTTGCTAAACTAATCATTTCTTAAAGGCACACTGTGGAACTTTTCAACCTTTATAATATATTACCAAAACCCATTGAGATGGTACATCGACTTACAATAGGTTGAATGACACGTCTGCCGTAGCCTGAAGGTGTCTGTATCGCTTTTCCTAGCACTATGTAACTTCGGGTTTCGGGTAGGAACCCGAGCACAAAAAGAACTACAAAATTCGACCGCTTTACGGCATACGTCACTTCCCCCACCACCCACAACTTCCTCAGATTCTGACGTGAGTGCTCAACTCGCGTTTGATTGCCGTTGCCGTCTGTATATTTTATGTTTTCGTCATGGCCGAACCAACAGCTACAAGGAAGAAGGCAATGGTTTTGTCAGAGGACACTAAAAGAAAAAGGCATAGTGACAAATGAAAAGCCAGGACGAGGATCACCATTGGTCCAGCGTTCGCTCGCTGGCGTGAGCTACAGGAGGAGGAGGGGTGCCCGACCGATGCTGACGCTTGCCTGCACGCAAATGCCGTTTCCAAGGTGACCCAGATAAATCATATAAGCAGTGTAGTATTTTCTGGTATTCCGGCCACAGCCGATGGTGTTATGAGTGTAATAAAATGCCCACAGCCCATTGTTCATTTCTACACACAAACACAGCCCGCCACAGTGCAGGGCTCGCACAAATAAAGTCGACTCATGTCAAATGTACATTAAATGTAACGTTAGTGAACGTGCCCACGACTCAGTGCCCACAAACACTACACACAACATGTCCCACGGTTTCTGTAAAACGAACCCAACACACATAAGTTACAGTCAGCTCAGGCCGACGGTGTTTTTAGTGCAGTAAATGTGCCCGCCGTCCCGCGCCCACATTCACTCACAGACATGTCAGCACTAAGCCCCACGGGGCTCGCCCCGCTCGCTCTCTCTCAGCAGACTGCTATAAGGGAATCGAGCGCGGCAAGGCTGCCCACCTCAAACACTGCAAGCACACACAATCTAAAGACACGGGAGGCTGACCCACTGTCTATGGGCTGACCGGTTGACTTTTGCGACAGTGCTGCGGAGCTTGTGGCCTCTAGGGACGCTAGACGTGAAAGTTACAGGTCGAGCGCCACTAGTGGCCAAAAGTTCCGCGGTGTGCCTTTAAGCTGGGCTCAGACTGCAGATTTACCTGATTTACCCCTCCCGACAATCAGAGAAAAAAAAATCTTGTCAAGCTCCTTGGACGGTTCAGATGTTCAGCGCAGATTTTCTGTTAATGTGAGGCGTTTAGAGGGACAATTCTAGACCCTTTTGTCTGTCCTCTCAGCCCCCCTCAAACTATAATCACCTGTCTGAACGATCGGGCCAGCGCTGCTTCCTCAAGAAAGTTGATCATTTTCATGTTTTTAAGTCTTGTCAGTTAAACATTCAAATGATTTTAAGCTAATCAAGTGCAAGACGCCGTGAAAAAGAACTCAATTTGGTATTCGCTGTGATAGATTGTTTCTGAGCGCGTGCACACAGAAAGCCCAAGCCACCTCTCAGACAGCACGCGAGTACCGAATTGAGTTCTCTTTCACGTCTTCTTGAGAAAGTACACACAAAGTTATGTCAAAATGCTCGTCTTGACGAGTATCCACATAAACACGTCGTAAACAGTTAAGAAAATATTAGATGTGAGTCAATACAATGGATCCATGCATTAGGTCTTAAAGTATGGCCCTACGCCTTCCACAGACGATATAAATACATTTAGACCGCTTACATTAGTGATTGCTATCAGGATGTGAAGAGACTTTCAACCAGTATAACATTCTGGAACAAATCACATAGCCTACCCTGCCTTTAATGTTTGAATTTTATATGTTAGGCTGGTATTTGTTTTTGCTGTGGTCGTAAATCTTAATCCGGAATCTAAAAAGTAACTTCAAAAATAACAAAAACAATAACTTTATTTATTTATTTAGGCAGGGTCAGTGAATGTTTTGGCAGGGCAGGTGAATATCTGATCTATAAAATCCTTATTGTTGAGCCCTGAGTCAATATTTTTTGTTTTTAAGCTAGTTAACAGTAATAGTTGTTCATTTTGCTGACAATTTTCTTTTAGTTAAACAGTATAGCCTAGTGAATGAGAGGAATTTAAAGACTCCTAGTCTGAGGCTTTAGTTAACGTACGCTTTTTAATCGGCCTTTACACACATACGCACAGAGTGTACATTTACTTTACAATTATAATTTAGTTCAAATAATTTTTGTTGGGGTGTTTTTTTTTAAAGTACACACTGTCAATACAATTACATTTGAGTTATAATAGGCGGGGACTATACCCATATATTTCCATAGACAGATTTTCCACAATTACTGAGAACACATAACTATCATCTTTAATGTGGTTACCCAAAACAGATGGGTGTGTTTAATGACAAAGAAATAAACAATGTAGGAAGTATAGAATCCAGGCTGAGTTCAAAATGAACAAGCTACACATTCTTTGCCCAGTGAAGATAGAAGATCCTCTGCTCAACATCCTATAGCTTAACTGTAATGTCATACATGCAGTGATATTCTGACAGTTGAAGCGCTTAAAAGATTTTTGAAAGTCGCACACTATAGCTGTGGTAAGCCGCACAAAAGTGATGCAATCTGTCTGCTAGATCTGACAGGGCATGGAGGCCTTTGGATGTTTCTGATACTGTGTTCACTTCCCCATTCTCATTCTCTTTTCTCTACCTCCCCCTCTGTCCTGAAGGAAGTTGCAGCTTCAAAACATGCTCAATAAAGAAAGATATGTCTCAACACACAAATATTTACCACAGATGTTGTAATACACTCATCTTCGCAAGATCATTAAAATCATTATAGAAATCTGTCTGTCTGTCTATCTATCTATCTAACTATCTATCTATCTATCTATCTATCTATCTATCTATCTATCTATCTATCTATCTATCTATCTGTCTGTCTGTCTGTCTGTCTGTCTGTCTGTCTGTCTGTCTATCTGTCTATCTACCTGTGTGTGTGTGTGTGTGTGTGTGTGTGTGTGTGTGTGTGTGTGTGTGTGTGTGTGTGTGTCTGTCTATCTGTATGGCTGTATACAGTGTATGTCTGCTGTCTATCTATCTATCTATCTATCTATCTATCTATCTATCTATCTATCTATCTATCTATCTATCTATCTATCTATCTGTCTGTCTGTCTGTCTGTCTGTCTGTCTGTCTGTCTGTCTGTCTGTATGTCTGTCTGTCTATCTACCTGTGTGTGTGTGTGTGTGTGTGTGTGTGTGTGTGTGTGTGTGTGTGTGTGTGTGTGTGTGTGTGTGTGTGTCTGTATGTCTATCTGTATGGCTGTATACATGTATGTCTGCTATCTATCTATCTATCTATCTATCTATCTATCTATCTATCTATCTATCTATCTATCTATCTATCTATCTATCTATCTATCTATCTATCTATCCCGAATTGGGATCTATCTATCAGTCTATCTCGTCTGTCTGTTTATCTACCCATGTATCGCTCTGTCTGTCTGTCTATCATGTATCTGTCTGTCTTTCTATCTATAAAATGAGAAGATAATTTATTTGAATAGTATCTTTGTCTTTCTGTGCATATTTGTTTATCTCTGGTGGAGTACGAACAGATGTGGATGTCTCTAAATTGATTTATATATTAAAATAATATAGGCCTATTATAATGTAATATAATTTACATCGGTAACAGTGTGTGAACATCCTGTCTAGTGAGAGCATCATGTCATTTTGTTTCTGAGAAAATCACTTAACATGATGTGTTCATAAACACCACGCTGCAGTGCACCATCTCTATCACAGGTAACAACTTTAACCTCTCTGTAGAAAACGAGAAAGAAAACGACCGAGCATTTCGCGCAATGAAGTTGTGGTGTATTTAACGCCTGCGCACACACGGTCCGTAGTGGAGAGAATTGTGAATGGGGGGAGTATTTTGGGTGTACAGTCATAAGTCGGACTCAGAGGAGCCAGGAAGTAAATGTGAGCCATGCAGCTCATGCGACGGGTAAAGTAGCGCGAGCGAGCGTCTGTTGTCAGCAGTCGGAGATCACACGCGCGGGAGTGAGGAAGAACAACAAGAAGCCAACGGCAAATTACTGCCAAATCTAGTGCAGCACAGATCACACACCTCACAAGAGGCGGAATCCGAAGAAGGTTTTATTTCTAAAAGAACACGAAGCTCATTGCAACACACTCCATCATTAGAAGAAGAAAAAAGACGGAAGGAAATAAGAGCGGGACTGGCGAGTTTCAAGGCAACGCTTCACTCTCTTTGCAAGTTTAGACAAATACAATTAACAAAATTGATCAAAACGCGTTCAAGATGCCTCGGGTGGTCCCGGATCAGAGGAGCAAGTTCGAGAACGAGGAGTTCTTCAGGAAACTCAGTCGCGAGTGCGAGGTGAGCGCGATTCATCCGAGACATTTGATAAAGTGGCGGAAACAAAGTTGCACCTCTCGTGTGACATAAAAACAAGCGTGTCATCGTTTCTTTCTTTAACAGCCTCTGTGTAGAGAACACTAATGCTCACTGCTGAGGAAAGTTGTAACCTTCCGTTCACGGTAGTTACAAAATATCGTTTTATATAGACTATTGCAAGCCCATCTATCAAGGAAAAGAAAGATATAGCGTAGGCTAATATCTGAAAGAAAGACGCACCTTTGCACCTCACCTTTTAACTCTAGTAGCCTATAGCCTAATAAGCCTAGTTATAGGTTTGTTTACTTCTAATGCAAATTGAAAAATACCACCAGGCAATTTGCATTTCAAATGTGCGAATTTTGTTATTTTTTCTCCAACATTTTCTTATTGCCTGCAAAGTTCATTATTTGGGTATAATCTCAACAATTTTCACCCCAGGACACATGTACCCTATAAAATCTAACCCACTAAAAGTAAATGACGATTCAAAGTAGAATCAAAGTCAAATCCTGCAAGAATACAATTCATATAAGGAAAAATTCGCGTTGAAACTCAGGTTGAAAAATCATAAACGTGGCCATAAAAATGACATAAATGATTGTGTCAAGTTAAATGGAGGAAGATACAGATGTTATTATAATGATGAAAATATTTTACGCTGTACTCTGATGAAGATATTTAATAATAAGACTCTTTCTTTTGTTATTCTTTCATCCCTGTTCACAGATTAAATACACCGGTTTCCGCGACCGGCCGCACGAGGAGAGGCAGGCGCGCTTCCAGAACGCGTGCCGTGACGGCCGCTCAGAGATAGTGAGTACACGCACCGGTCACTTACTACTGACCCTCGTATCATTGCTGGCAACTCAATATTTAAACACATAACGTGATTAGGCATCTGGAACTGTCACGACATCACCAAAAAATACTTCCTCATAATGAGCGCCAAACACTGCAGAGAACATTTATGAACCATATCCTGTTTTACTGACCTATCGGTAAAGGGCTGTATGTAATTCACTTAATTATTAGAACTACAAATAATTAAACAATGCTGAAACAGAGTGCCTCTCGGCTTCGTTTAACTACTATCAGAAGCGCATCTCACGGGTGCTGATGAACCCGGACGTGTGCAGTCTCTTTAAAAATACCTCGAGACTGCTTATTATTTAGAGACCATCTCCTGTATTATTTTTTATTATTTTAAAATTGTATTTCGTTCATATATAGTGGCCTATTTAAAGTTGTTTTGCACTAGATTGGCTTTGTGTCATACCTTTTTCTTTTACCGGTTTGATAACATAGACTTGTTTATCTCTTTATTTGTATCTCATGTCTACAGGGCTATTTGAGATGATTTAGCTAATATGATTTTTTTTTTAATTCTATTTATTATAAAATTACAGACCAGATATATACAATACATTTTCTGTTTGATGTCATTTTTTTCTATTTAATTAGATTTTACAGGCAAAATTTAATCATAAACATCAATTTACAAAACCTTATACATTGATAGTGATAGTTTACTGAGAAGTAACAATGAAAAACGTTACTTAAGCATTTCTAATATAAAATGGGAATTAGGTTTCACTTTATTTTAAGGTGTCATTGTTACAGTGTTATATATATAAGTAGAGCCATATTAATTAACAACATGTACTTACTATAGGTTTAGGGTAGGATTAGGATTTGGTTGAGGGTTAGTTGCATGTAATTATGCATACTTTACTGTTACTAAGTATGGTAAGTACATGTAACATATATAACAAGGACACTGTAAAATAAAGTGGGACCTGAAATTAAATTATTTGATTGTGTTTGTATAATTTACGTGTTTTGTTTTCTCACCATGCTGTCCTATGCAGTTTTGCTGTGTTGTGACGTGCATGATGTTCACTTTAGTTCTTTAATCAGTGAGATGTGGTCATGTTTGGCCTTATTTGCCCCTAACATCAACAGTAGATTAAATACTGAGGTTCAAAGGCAAACAGATCTATTACAAAGCTGCAGAGAGCAACTTTCCTCGTCTCTTTATGTCTTTGTATCCCATTGCAATGATGCTGAGTATTGATTAATATAATTTATAATATTATTGTTGATGTATGTCTGAGCATATGAGTGAGAGTGAATCAGATGTTTGATTTTAATATATATTTTTTAGAAACATCATTAAAATGCCAGACAATTCTGCGAGACAGTTTAGTATACAATCCCGTTTTTTGTTTGTTTTTGCTTATGTTCCTTGAGAACGTTATTGAATTATTGCGCCATAATTCAAAACCTTTACAGCAGTCCGGCTGCTATTAATGTAAGTGAGGGGCTGCATTTAAAACAATTATTGATTTTGTACTCCTCCCTTTCTCTGTTATCTCTCTGTCACTCTTTCACTCCTGCATTCCGTCTTCTCTCAAACTCAGTTTGGTGCAGACCAGTTTGCCAGCAATGAGCGTTGGTAAAATAGAATCAGATGTGTGTAACTCAATACCTCAAATAGAGAAAATGATGACTTGGTTTTTTCTTTTCTTTTCTTTCACCCTTCATCCCCTCCTCCCTTTTTTTTCCTGATGTTTTGAGCGCTGGCCTTGGCTCCAGGCATTCTCCTCTCCTCTCTGATGTGAAAACAGAAATGACGGGCTGCATAATTTATGCTCGGGCCTGGCTTTCTTATCCTGTTTGTATTGATTTCCCTCTAAAAGGCTTTTGTGGCGACCGGCACCAACCTCTCGCTGCAGTTCTTCCCAGCCAACCTTCATGGGGACCAGCGGCAGGCGCCCACCCGAGAATATGTGGACTTCGAGCGGGAGACAGGAAAGGTAGTCCTGACACTCTTTCTCTGTATTTGCAATTACCCCCCTCCCTCCCTCCACCCTATTTAAACTCTCACTTGCTCCTCTCATCTCCCCCTTCAAAAACAAATCAGATCATAAACATACACTCTCATTCAAATGTGTAAAGGTGTGTTGTGATAATAGTAACATTCAACACTTTCATGAAAAGCCACATGCATGATTAATTAAATCTGAGGAATGATTGAAGAAGTCATTTCTGTTTTTCTTTCGTCTTTTCCTTCCTTTACACACAGCAGAGGAAGTGTGTCGCTTTTTCAAACCAGACGTATCCATGGGTTAGATGGGCAAAAGCCTTGATTTTCCATAATGATACGTTTCCCTCTCACACATCTCAAGGAAAAATGAACCCTTGAAATATTACACTGCAGACAGCAAGAAAAACAGTCCCTCTTGAATGAAACATGGCACGGGTTTCCATTTTATGTTTAAACTTTCAATTTTATTTCTGTAGCAGTATTATTTCAGACACGCTCATCGGTTTTAGATTTTTGAATAGGTCTTTCAACAACTCCCTCTTGTTTCTCTGGATTTAAGGAATGCATAGCCTCCCTAAACCCATAAGAACGTAAAATAAAACCATACTCCACTGCACTGTCTTCGTTCCATTTCTAACCACTATTAAACTCCGTATTTATTTCTGTTATTCTAGTCAAGGCTGTCCGTGCCTGTCAGAAGCCTATAACCATAAGTTCTACCCCATGTCACCATTGTAAGGTCACTTTTAAAAAGGGCATTCATTCAGCACACTCTGTCTGAAAGGCTGTGACATTAAAGGGATAGTTCACCCAAAAATGAAATGTACTCATCCTCATGTTGTTCTAAGCCTGTATGACTTACTTTCTTTTATGAAACACAAAAGAAGATACTTTAAAAAAAAATTTCAGTGTTTTAATTTGTCCATTCAATGAATGTCAGTGGGGTCTAAAAGAAAGAAAGAGAGGGTGAGTGAATGATGACAGTTTTCATTCAAGCTGCTCCATGCTCTTTTAATCTTGCTCAGCGTACAGTAAATCAGATTCTCAGGTTGATGTGTCCCTCATTGTATCTCTTGTGATACTTTACCCTGTGAAGAAAGGGAAATACGTAATTGACACCGTCAGTCACTCTGTCAGCTGCGTTGTCCGCAGATGCAGCGATCACTTTCTTAGTGTGTCTGTCACACTTACCAAATGCGATACAAATTTAATTCAAGTCTTCTAACACTTTAAAGAGTCTGGTGCCGAGATGTTTACAGTTCATAAAGGCTGATTAGGAAGTATGCCGTCGGCACAACAGCTTTATGGATGGTCGCACAAGACCAATTAAAGGAAAAGCTTGGGCCGGATTAAATAGCATTTTGCCATAGGTTCTTTTAAGGTCACCCCTGAGGCCTTTCCCTTCAAGCCTTTGTGTAGAAGAACGTTAGTGCGAGACATTAGAGAGGCACTTACTGGCTTTGTTTGTGTTTTTACCACAAGCCCATTGCAAAGCTGCTGGTGTTTCTTGTGCCGTGTTGGACAAGGAAGCCTCTCTTCACGGACACTGCCTCACTGAGATGCACTCATTAAAAATGCATCCGTAAGAAATCAATGGACCTTTTGGCCCCGAGGCTGACGGACTAATCTTTGGCTGTTAATTATTTAAAAAGGCGTAAAGGGTGTGTGCGTCGATCCCCGTGCTGACAGGCAGCCGAGCATGCGTGTTTCTGAGCCTGGGCTCACTGGTAATCCTATCCACCTGTCTGTCACCTCTGCCAGAACTCAGATCCATGCAGCTTTAATGAGCCTCACACCGTCTGCCTTCAAAATACAGCCCACGCGATACATACCCCTACACTTTCTAGTTACCTACCTGACACACAAACTCATAGCGCTGCTTGTTAGATTGTTGCGACTACCTGTTTTGTACTATTTACATGCTTTCGAAGGCAATATCTTGCCATTTTTATTTACTCTGTTTGAGTTGGAAGGCATGTAAGTTGGGTAATTTTAATGCTTTGGCCATTTGGTTTTGTTTACAATAAAGTACCGTGCTGGTACCATGGTAATTTGATGGTATCAGATGGTGATTACCAAATTCATATATTATCTATCTATCTATCTATCTATCTATCTATCTATCTATCTATCTATCTATCTATCTATCTATCTATCTATCTATCTATCTATCTATCTATCTATCTATCTATCTATCTATCTATCTATCTATCTATCTATCTATCTATCTGTCTGTCTGTCTGTCTGTCTGTCTATCTACCTGTGTGTGTGTGTGTGTGTCTGTCTGTCTATCTGTATGGCTGTATACAGTGTATGTCTGCTGTCTATCTATCTATCTATCTATCTATCTATCTATCTATCTATCTATCTATCTATCTATCTATCTATCTATCTATCTATCTATCTGTCTGTCTGTCTGTCTGTCTGTCTATCTACTTGTGTGTGTGTGTCTGTCTGTCTATATGTATGGCTGTATACAGTGTATGTCTGCTGTCTGTCTATCTATCTATCTATCTATCTATCTATCTATCTATCTATCTATCTATCTATCTATCTATCTATCTATCTATCTATCTATCTATCTATCTATCTATCTATCTATCTACCTGTGTGTGTGTGTGTGTGTCTGTCTTTCTATATGTATGGCTGTATACAGTGTATGTCTGCTGTCTGTCTATCTATCTATCTATCTATCTATCTATCTATCTATCTATCTATCTATCTATCTATCTATCTATCTATCTATCTATCTATCTATCTATCTATCTATCTATCTATCTATCTATCTATCTATCTATCTATCTATCTATCTATCTATCTATCTATCTATCAAAAGAAATCAGTCTAAATTTAAGGGGCATGTCCAAAAACCACAGTAATAGCATGTATTTTTTTTGTGTTATAATGTCACACTTTAAAATCTGAGTGAATCATTCTACCTACCTTAATTCAGTTGCAAAAGTGAAAGTCATTTTAAGGGACCAATCGGGTAGAAATTGTCTTTAAGGTAACACATTTTCACCTATTGTTGTTGCAACAAACTGTAATTTATGTCTTGTGCATAGTCATTGTTTTAAATCACCTTAAGAAATTGTTGGAAAAAGCTTGAAAAAACCAACAATGATCTTAACTAGTGCTCTTGACAGATTTATATCCATGTAACACATTTGAGAGTTGGAGTTTCCTTTCTCTTTTGTTTGGAAGGAAATCCTGAATGGACAAACTTTGCTGATAAGGTCTATCCTCCCTTAATTTCTTACTTTGTTCCTCCTCTTCACTTACATGCCCTCTGGTTTTCTTTCATCCTTTAATTTTCTCTCTCTTTTTCTCATCTACACACACACACACACACACGGTGAACGTCTGTCATGGTGAATTCCCTGTAGAGCGGTGCGTGTCAGACCGGGAGAGTTCATGCGTGCGCCCCAGCCTCTGCTCCTAATTAAACTGATTGTTAACCTTTTCTACAAACAGATCCCTCTAAAGAGCTACAGCTAAAATATTACCCTAACCGGAAAAGCGCTCAGACTCGCAGTTGATCCTAACATGCAAAACCATGTGAGATTTGTGCTGCCTGTCATCAGGAATGTGCGATCACTGTCTGCCTATTGGCTGAGGTGTCCTTACAAGACTGCCGATTGGTTTATTTCTCACGCCATAAATCAGTCATCAACGTCTCATTTGTTACTCACAATGCCGCACGCTGTGTTTTGCTGCCAGACTCCCAAACTGTAAAAGCAGAGTTGTAAAGAATATGGGGAAAACAGCGAGGCAAGAGCACCTTAAATATATGGCTTCACAAGCAGCCACCTGATGATATGCCGGATAAAAAGAAAATAAATCATTATATACACTTTGAAATGTGCCACTAGGCATTTTGTAGTTGAGATTTAGTTATTAACTCAGCTTTTTTAGCTGACAGGTATTATTTTAGAGGACCACTATTATTTCTAGGCATGCACTGATTTAAAAATTCTGGCAGATATCGAAAAGCTGTTAAACATGTTATGACCAATAACCAATATATGTGTGATAGTAAACTTCTATACCATTGTGCATATATCAATACACTACAATCAATTGTCTTAAATGCTACAAGTGGATTTGGGCATAATATACGGAATGAAAAAATGAACATTCATTTTGAGATTTACTAAAAATTACATCAGTAAACAGTGTTATTAAATGAATAATGTTTTTAAAGATTAACTTTAAGTGAGCATTAGATGATGAAATTAGCATGTAAAATGAAAAATCCACTCATAACAATAATATTTCTAACTGATATGATACCGATACGGGCTGTGTTCTCCCTCCATAACTCTCACCTTTCTCTCCTCTTCTTTTCTCCTGGTTTGAAAACACAGTCGTTGCCAGTTTAAACTTGGCCTGTGGCAGGGGACAGTATTATCTGAGTGGGGCGGCGGAGCCCCCGCAGCACAGCTTAAGTACAGGCTCCTAGTGTCACTGCAGGCTAATGGGAACCAGCTGTGGGGGAGGTTTAATTTTAGCGGTAGCAAGCACAGCCCCAGGGAGGAGACCTTAACCCTGTCCCAGCCAGAGCTCCTCAGAAGCTCCGACAGCAGCGTTCCCTGTGCAACAACCTTTAGACCGAGTCAGGTATTCCATCAGCCCAAATAAGTACTTTATTGACCATATGACAAGATACAACATGATGCGCGGTCCCTCAGAAGGCAAATGGGAAGTAAAGGGAATTCCATTTTATCTTGGTGGATCATTAACCATGCTTCATTGAAGGAAACTTTATTAAGCTTTTGGGTGTTAGCTTTTTTTATTTGATGCAAATGGTTTGAGCAGTGCTCAACACTAGAGTTTAGTCTAGAAGCTTTTGGCTCTCTGTAAACTATATTGTGCCATTTTTCCTGCACTACTATTACTAGAGCAAGAAACTCTCTCCCTCCCTTTCATGCAGCTTCTGTCTCCACCACTTAAACTCAATCTTGTTGAAATGTGATCTCCTCTGAGATG